CCTGCTTCTTGGTGGACGTGCGCGACACGCCCAGCATGAATCCGAACTCCTCGGCGCCGTCCTCGTGAGGGAGTGGCGGCGGGGCGGGTTGCGCAGACCATGGTGGGTCTCCATGTTCTTCTCCTCGGCATCCTTCTCCTCCTCGTTGTCCTCCTCGTTCGCCTCTTCCTGCTTCTCCTCCTCTCCTGCTCCACCCCATCCTCCTCCCTCCTGCTCTCATCCAGCTTCGCTTTCCCCTCCTCTTCCTCCTCCTTCTTTATCATCGGCTCCCCGTCCTCATCATCACCCCTGGTTCATCCCTCCACTTCCTTCCTGATCCACCTTCCTTCCTCCTCCTGCTTCTGCTCCTCATCCTCCTCCAAACCCTCTCATCCCCACCGTCTGTATCGTTTCCCCCCTCCGCCTTCATCTGATCATCTTCTTCCAGGCCTTTCGCCCCTCCTTGTTCTTCTTCCTCATGTCTGACTCCTCATCCCCGCTGCCTCCGACCCTCAATGTATAATTTACAGACTGGCCTCCTCCTGCTCAGATCCTCTGGACCGTCCTCCTCCTGCTTTTCCTCCTCTTCTTCATTTTCCGCCTCCACCATCTCCTTCTCCTCTCCTCGTCCCTCCCTTCATCCAACCCCTCGTCTCCCTGTCCTCTGTCTGCACGGCATGATCTGCACTCCTCTGGAGGAGTGACGAGAGAACGAACGAACGACCACGAGTGCAGACAAGTGTCGGGTCCTACTTGAGACCAGGTGAGCGAGGCCGTAGCCTCAGTATACTATAGTACACGGTCTAGACCTGCATGCAAAACAGATGGGGAAAGAGAGATGGTAGTGAAGGAAGACAAGGGGGAGATGGGGAAACCCAAAAGTACCGATACCGCTACTCCCTAGACCTCTCCCAGAGTGCGTTCTGACCAGAATTTCGAGGCGAATCCAGCGGTGGTGACGAGGACCTCCCAGGAAGCCAAAAACAGCGGAAACCTACCTTTTCCCTCCTCTGAGGAGGTGCAGCAAGAAGCATCGACCCGTCGTCCCGCTTCAGGTTTGCCCTCGTCCGCAGCATCACGGTTGGCGAAGGATGCACAACAGGGGGAGGGAGGAAGGGAGGGAGGGAGGAGGAGGAGAAGAAATCCCGCTTCAGGTTTGCCCTCGTCAGCAGCATCACGGTCACGTTCGACGAGGTCGCCTGCCTCTTGGGCGGGTCGATGCCCTGCGGGTGCCCCGGGGCGTGCCCCTCTCCCCCTGTTGGCGGCGCGCGCAAAATGTAGGAGGCCACATAGGCGAACCCTGGGGTGCACTTGGCTCGGAAGGTGCCGAAAGAAGTGAGCCCCACCTCCACCCTTAGAAATCGTGGGCCTCCTCCTCCTCCTCCTCCTCCTCCTCCTCCTCCTCCTCCTCCCCCGCCTCCGAATTCAACAAGAGCGACGAGGAGATAGAGCAGCAGACGGACCACCACCACGAGCAGACCAAAAATCGTCATGAAAATAAGCCCCCGAATTAATGTTTATTTCCCGGCCACCTCGACGAGCAGGACGACACCCAAAGGGCAGCCGCGCCGACGCTGACCGAGAAGATCCTCGCCAACGCCAAAGGGGTCGACACGAACACGATGGACAACATTTGGGAGGTCGCGAGTATGCTACAACAGCGGGAGGCCTCCCACAGCGCACCCAACTACATCAAGAAGAACGCAGCGCCCCAGACCGACCCCAGCGGAGCAGAACAACTTTGACGGCTTTACCACCGCTTCATCGGCACCATGGAGAAGTTCTACTGCGTGGCTTACCAGATGGAGATAACCGACAGGGCAACCCTACGGCTTCAATGAGCAACAGCTCGAAGAAAAAGGAGAACGATAACATCGATACACATCACACCGAGCGGCCTGGTGGAACCGAACCGACACGGTACTACGGACACTGGTCAAGCTACGAGACCGACAACACGGACTGCAGCAACAACGGAAGCTTGCCAACGCAGGGAGACGACTTGCACGGGAAGGCCTTCCACAGCAGGAGTGCAAGGACAACCACAGCACGTCTACACCGACAATTACGGAAAGACCTACTTAGCAAGCTGGAGTCCATCCCGCTGGACACGCTGAAGGGCATGGCAGAGCAAGCAGAGCAAGAAGTTCGACACGCACTACGAAAGGACATGAAGGACAGCAGGAAGCAGTAGTGCGCCTGGCTCACACAGGCAGACAAGAACAGCGGCGCCCTGCATAAGATTACCAGAGCACCACCACGACGAGAAACCGAAATACACACCGGCACCGCCACGCTCAGCAGCCCGAAGGACATGATCGACCACAAGGCCACCACATTCACCAAGATCTGGAAGTGCCACGACACGACCCACGACTCACTCAGGGAGTACCTCACCACCCTACGCGCCGAGACAGCCGAGGACGAGTACGACCCCTGGACACTCGACGACCTTGACCGATGCATCAAGGGAGAGCCCGACAAGGGCAAGGGCGTGGACGTGATATGCACCAGCGACATCCGACGTCCACCAGCGACGGGGCTCAAAGCACTGGTCGACTTCTACAACGAGTGCGAGCATCACCAAGCATGGCCCTGGCAACTCCTCACGGCCATCGTCATGATCCTCCCCAAGCCAGTCAAGGGAGACCGAGCCCTAGCACTATTTTCACAACTGGTGCGATGCTGGGAGCTATTACACCGACATCGCATCCGACGCTGGGCCAGACAGCACGAGAGAGAATGCGATGCAGCGATAGAAGGTAACAGCTGCCTACGAGAAGCACTACGACGCCTAATCACCGACGAATGCGCAGACGCAATGGGCATTTGGGAATCGGTGCTATTGGCGGACATCGAGAAGTTCTACGACAGCTGACGCATCGACAAGGTCATACCAGCAGCACTAGCACTCAACTTCCCAGCACGACCGCTATACCTCATGATGTTGCAACACTCAGCCACGAGAATCCTGCGAAACCAAGGAACGGACTGACTGCCACTATACGCGGACCGCTCCATCCTTGCAAGCTCGAGGCACTCAAGCAACGTGGCCAAGACGGTAATCTACGCGCCGATGGCAAAGCTGACGGGCACCACGGACATGCCACGACCAGTACCACGAGCTTGGTCCGACGACATCAGCGTCAGAATTGTCGACAGCAGAGAGGAAGGCATCCCAGCAACGGTAGCAGGCACCCACACGCTGTACCTGTGCCTCGGGGAGCAGGGCCTCAAGCTAGCAGACAAGACAACGCTCACGACAACCAGCTCCCAGGACACCAAGGACATGCGGCGCCAGCTCAAGAACCTCGGGATCGAGATCAGCATCACGAACGAGGGCAGAGACCTGGGGGCAGACCGAGCAGCACGCGGAAGCACGACCAAGAAAGCAACACGCGGCACCCGATGGAAAGGAGTACAGAGACGTCTCGGAGCAGTGGGACACAAGTTACGACGGTTACGAGTTCGACGCAGAGCAGGAATCACACAACAAAGACCAATGGCCTCGCTAAAATACGGCACCGCTTTCTACGGAAGAGCCCCACACGCACTACAGCAAGCGCGGCGACGTTATGCACAGGCCCTACGTGTACCATGGCCAGGTAGGTGACTCACCACCCATCTGGCCGTGGAAAGTACAGACCCCGCGTACACTACCCTGAAAAACCGGTTCACTTGTTGGTTCAGCTGCTGGGGACACAGCGCCGACCTACGAGCACAGACTCGAAGGGCGTGGCCGAAATTCTACTCCAGACTCATGAAGACGCCGACGCGGCAGAGATGGGGTAAGAGAAGAGGGCCAATCACCGCGATCATGCTGACGCTATGGGAATTGGAATGGGACTCACGCGGACCCGACACCTGGATCGACCCGCAAAAGAACTCCTGGAAGTTCCCGACGGACGGTGCGCAAGGAGATCCCACAGACATTCTGGACGCGCTCATGGCGGACGTATCACGATACCTTCGGAAGACCGCAGCACAACACCACAACGGACAAGGCCTGGAGGAGAGCGGGCGGACATCACAGACCTACGACAGCACCTGGAATGGCTACTACGCCGAGGCAACTACAGAGAGTACAGGGCATTATTGATAGCTTCCTGCACGGGGACGTGGACACCAGCAGGGAAACGAGACTGCTTCGGCGAGTGTTCAGCGGAATGCGAAGGCGGAGTGGAAGAGACCGACTACCACAGGATCTGACAGGACTCTGATGCTGAGAGTTGACAACGACATCTTCCTCAAGACACAAAAACTACGACAGAAAGCAGAAGAGGGACACCGAACAACGCCAGCATTCTGGCTGCGGGACATGACTCCACGAGCATGGTCTGTACCACCCGAATGCGACACGGGAGAAGAAGCCAACTTCATGGGCGAGTGCATCCACAACGACCGAATCTCCACGGTTCACCGATAGTGGCATAGGAGATGGTTCTGGCGGCAAAAACCATGCAGACTGGCGGTATCGTCGATGTGGCTGGGCCTGCATACGGTTGGGAGGCACCGGCATGGAGATCACAGCGGGTAAGTACGGACCACTACCTGACCAACGTCAAACAAACAACCGTGCAGAGATATGGTCACTGCTGGACTGCCTCAAGAGTACATCGGGACCACTACACTTCTAGACGGACAGCGAATTAGTCTTTAAGGCATGGAACTCCCGCAGGTACGAGCGATCAGCAGAGGCAGGCACCAACGGCGACTTGTGGACGGCAATTGGGCGAGAGTTGCGACAGCGAGGACCAGCAGATCAAATCCAACTGCGTCACATCAACAGCCACCTCAGCTGGGAAGACGCAGAAGCCAAGGGTTTCCCGCGGCACGCCTGGTACCGCAACGCCCAAGCGGACAAATTCGCTGACATCGCGGCAGAAACACACGACATCGACGACAACAAAATGCAGTGCTACAACTGGGTGAACGCGACGGCAGCTTGGTGCGACAGCGGATCACCACGGCGACGCAGCAGCTATTGGACAGACGCCCAGCCGACGACCACGACATCAAGGCCAAGAGACGACAACAGAGGCGAGAAGAACACGCCAAAACGAAGAGACAAGCAAACTACTTCGCGACGGGACCGCGAAAGCCAGACGGAAGACGACCGCCTACCACACACCGACTGCAGCGACTACGACGAGGTCTGGGATGGAAGTGTAGCTGTTGCAGACAAAATGTGGGACGCGACACTGCTTTCGACAACATCGCACGTTGGTTCCAGGACGGATGCGACGGGCCGCCACCACGACATGGGACGGAGCTCCAGATACATGGGAACACAGCACACCCAACACATCGATTCCAATACCTGAGCAGAGGGAACTGCTGGTCCTGCTGAAGCTGTGGAACGACTGCCGTGGAGCACGTGTCTCAGAAAATACAAGCGGAGTGCAAAGGCTCACCGCCGTACAACAGCCTCAAGTACAAGCTGAAAAGATGGAATCCGCCGGCCCCCTTGTGGGGACACCAGGCCCTGCACCAGTTCCAGTTTCCAGTTTCCACTGCTACAGTTCTGCTTCTTGCTGCTTACTGTTCCTTGTTGATGGACCGCGCGAGGGGGGGGGAGCCGAGAAGGAACCTACTTACCACGCCCGAGTCGGGTGCTCTGAATTCCTGGGGGGGGCGTGGGACGCGTAAAAATACATAAACTTCGCGCCCCCGAAGCTATAAACCATCGTAAATTTCACCGGATTCGCGTCCCCGAGGCCATAATCCTGTGTAAATTACGCTTACGCTATTTTCGCGTCCCCGAAGCCATAAACCCTCACAAAATACACCATTTCGTGCCCCCGAAGCCATACACCCTCAAAAATTACGCGATGCTTGCGTCCCCGAGGCCACAAACGCTGGTAAATCATACAATACTCGCGTACACGAAACCATAAAACCTCTGTAAATTACATCATGCTCGCGTCTCCGAAGCCATAAACCTATGTAAATGATGCAATATTTGCGACCCCGAAACCATAAACCCTCGTAAATTACACCATAATCGCGTGTCCGAAGCCATACACCCTCGTAAATCACACGATATTCGCGTCTCCGAAGCTATAAACCTGTGTAAATTACGCTGTAGGTGCGACCCCGAAACCATAGACCCTTGCAAATTACGTGCGACTCGCGCATCCGAGCCATAAACCCTCAAAATACAGCACCGAATTCAACAATATCATCAGAATCTCAATTTGTCTTGCCGATTACTCGTCGTCTTCGCGTGAAGTCCCGACGCTGCTTCACGGCGGCGCCAAGGCCTCATGATTTCGCTTTTGCATTGCCCATTATCCGAGAGAAGGGGCCGGCGGCAGGGGGCGAAGCCCTTACGGATAGACTGGCGATGGAAGATGGTGACGACGTGACACCCAGCACGGACGCCCATCACGAAGAACTGCTCCACTCGACTCCGCAAGACGCGAGTGGAGATGGGGTGGGCCCCAAGGCCGCGACCCCCGAGCGGGGCCTGCCAGCCGACGGCGCGGGCGCGGGCCGACTCGCTTGCGCGAGGGGCCAAAGGCTTGAAAGGCTCCTCCTCCTCCTCATCCTCCTCCTTCTCCTCCCTCTCTCCCTCCCTCCCTCCCTCCCTCCCTCCCTCTCTCCTTCCCTCTCTCCTTCCCTCCCCCCCTCCCTCTCACCCTCCCTCCCTCCTTCCCTCCTCCTCATCCTTGTCCTCCTCTTCCTCCTCCTCCTCCTCCTCCTCCTCTTCTTCCTCCTCCTAGTCCTCCCTCTCCTCTTCCTCCTCCTCCGCCTCCACCGCCGCCGCCGCCGCAGCCGCCCCGCCCCGCCCGCCTCGATCCAGACTGCCCTCCAGCCCGGGTTGTTCCTGAGCAGCTTCAGCAGGCGCTGCTTCTCCTCAGGCGCGCGCGGCGGCCACGCGCCGGAGCGGGCCTTGCGGGCGGACCCGAAGGACGTCCAGCAATTCCACCATCACGTAGTGATAGGGAGAGGGAGGGGAGGGGGAGGGAATGGGGAGGGAAGGGAAAGAGGGCAAGCTAGGCGCGTTCGCGTTCCCATTGCGCTAACTGTGTCTCTGTCCGCGGGCGCGTGCCTTAGCCGACCTGGAACTCCAAAACAAACCCATCGTGTTGTGCGCAACCGGAACAGGGGAGATGCGCACATTGGAGAATGAGGGGGAGGTGGTGGCGGGTGAGCAAGAGGATGGACCGGAGGAAAAGGAGGAGGACGAGGACGATTAGCAACAGCAGGAGCTGGAGTTGAAGGAGGGGGGACAGCAGGGGGACCACGGGAAAGCGTAGGAGGGGAAACGAGGGAGGCGGCAACGATGAAAAAGGATGCAGATTAAGAAAAGCGGCTTGCGCTGAGGCGAGAGCGCAAGTCAGATCGACGGGAGAGATGCGACGACCCGACAAGAAGGGCTTACACTGCAACAGGAGCACTAATCAGAAACACCCAAAACAATCGAATTGAAAACATATGTAAGCCAGCGTGGCCCTCGAAAAGTGTGCTCCAGCATACTACGTAGTGCACGTGGTGCAATATATGTGGGGCAATCCACTTTGACCGTCTTGAAGCTGTCCTCTCCAATGCTCGCGCAAACATCCCACCCACCCACCCGCAACTTGGTTTGCAAAACCTCTTCAGACCGACTAGGACGACACCGACGACGTCTCCGACGACTTCGACGACGACAACGACGCCGACGCCGACGACGACGAAGACGACGACGACGCCAACGAAGGCGACCACGAGGGAGGAGGAAGGACGACGACGGCGACAACGACGACAACGACGACAACGACGAGGGAGGAGGGAGGACGGCGACGACGCGAACGACGACGAAGGAAGAAGGACGGCGACGCCGACGACGACAACGACGAGGGAGGAGGGAAGACGACGACGACAACGACGACGACGACGGCGACGAAATAGGAGGGACGACGACGAGACGCCGACGACGGACGACGACGACGACGACGTGGGAGGAGGAGGAAGGACGACCACGGCGACAACGACGACGGAAACGACCACGACGCCAAAGAGGACGACGACGACGAACACGAGGAAAGAGGACAGACGACGTAGGCGACGACGACGACGACGACGCGGGAGGAGGGAGGACGGCGACGACGACGACGACGACGACGACGCAAGAGCGCGCGCGCACGCTTTTGTTAAAAATCCGTGTTGCGAAACCCTGGGTTTTTGTAGGTTTTTTGGACGCGCCTTCCGAAACCGATGGGTTTTGAAGGTTTTCGGCATACGCCCGCGACGACGCGCGCGTCTGCACTTCGTCCCAATTTTTGCAAAGGATTCTCGCGACGGCACACGCGCAGGGGCGTTCGACAGATTTCGACATGCGCGCGCGAAGCCCGTTTGGTAGAATGTTGTGGAAATCGTGAAAAACCAACGGTTTTCTTAAAATTACGCAAGAGTTCGCGCGGAAGCTTTTTCAGCAAATCAGTGTTGCGAAACCCAATGTTTTAGTATGTTTTTCGGAAGCTCGATTGCGAAATCCTTCCGGCACCGAAGGTTTTTGAAGGATTCCGGCATGCGCGCGCGACGACGCGCGCGTGCGCACTTCGTCCCATTTGTTGGAAAGGATTCGTGAAAAAGTGCTATGTTAGAACAAAATATGTCACCGCATAGTGTTTTTCACAAGGGAACCTCAGGGGGGGGAAACCGGCCTAGCTGGGATGGTACGGTTTCATATTTAAGATGGACGAATGTGCAGAAAAATATGCGAAATCATACTATCCCAGGTGGAACCGAGAAGTCCGGGGGGGGTCGAGTCTATTATCTGTTTAGAAAGGGAAAAAACATGTTGCATCATATGTGGTGTAAATTACTGGGCACAATCTACGTGGTGAAATATATGTAGTGGAAGCTGCGTCGTGCAAAAAAAATGGTGCAAGCTACGTGGTGCTGAATATGTAGTGTATTGAATTTATGTTCGCACTGGATTGTCAACTCCACTGTTCGCGCAATCGTCCCACCCACCCACCCACAACTGGGATTGCAATACCCATGCGGCGGCGCTCGCGTTGAATGTTGGGTGTTAGCTAGGCATCCGTGCGACTGCGATAACCCGCGCATGACCGCGCGCGCAACGGTCAGCTAGTGTGGCGCGACCGACGCGGCCGCGGTGGCGCTGGTCGCTGGGCACTTCCCAGCGGGCACTCCAGTGCGACTCGGCGATTTGGGCGGGCAGGGTATCATGGCAACGCCGACAACGGTAGACACGGTGATGATAGTAGCGATGCTGGTGGCGATGGTGACAACGACGACGGCAAGGCCAGTGACGGCGCCTATGCTGATCACGCCGACGACGATGACGGCGTCCTCGCGTCGGTGATGAAGTCTTTTGGACGGAGTTTGACAAGCGCGCGCGGCCGATGCGCGAGAGTAGCCCGCATGACACGGATCGCGCCCCCCCCAAGACGCGCGCAAGGGCGCTCGAATGATTTCGACATGCGGCGCGGGAGGCCCGTTTGGCCGACTTTAATGAAAGTGCTGTTGCTCTATATCTATATATATATATATATAACCAAAGAAAAAAACAACGGATTCCTTAAGCATCCGCAAGATCGCGAATGCAAGTTTCTTTGGGTAACTGATCTTGTAAAAAAACACCAGCGCTGCATGTTTTCGAGGCACTCTGCCGTGAAATCCTTATGTCACAAAGGTTTTGAAGGATTTCGGCATGCGCGCGCGGCGACAAGGCGCGCGTGTGCACTCCGCCCCTTTTTCTGCAAAGTATGATCGGAAACTGATGACTTGCGATAACCGAGCGCGCGCGTAGTATGATTTTTGCGGATGATGAGGAGATGATGCCAGTCTAGCTGGGATATCACGAACACAAATGTAGGGTGGACGATGGGGCAAAACCATATGCAAATTGCATTACACAACGGGGGACCGGTAATTCCAGGGGGGCTCCTTCTACTCGCTCAGGAAGGAAAATCTGTGTGGACAACATATGTGGCGCAATGTATGTGGTGCAATACATGTTGCGCAATCTATGTGGTGTACCCGGTGTGGTACTGCATGTGTCGTGCGATACATGTGTTTCCCTCTATAACAGTGCAAGGTGTGTGGTGCAATCTATGTGGTGCGAGATATGCGGTGCCAATACATGGTGCAACATCTGTGTTGCCATCAATGTGGTGCAGTCTTTCTAACGTGAGCTGTCGTGTAAGCTACGAGGTGCAAATGTACCCGAAGCGAGCTATGATATGTAAGCTATAGGGTGTCAGCTGTGGGGTCCAATATCAGGTATGAGCCATGCTGTGAAATCTATGAGGTGCCACGTAATTGCTGCAATCTGTGGACGGACATGTATATATACATATCCATACCTATACAACCACCCTTCGGGTGATAAGGATGTTCGGGGGGGGGGAGGAACCAACGTCTCACTCGATCGGTCTCACTATCGATCTCACTATCGATCTCAGTATCGGTCTCGCTCGATCGATCTCCCTCGATCGATCTCACAATCGATCTCACTCGATCTATCTCACAATTGATCTGGCTATCGATATCACAATCGATCTCACAATCGATCTCACAATCGATACCACATTCGGTCTCACGATCGATCTCACTATCGATATCACAACCGCTCTCACAATCAACGTCATCATCATCAACAACAACAACAACATCAACATCATCATCACCAACATCATAATCGGGACACCGTCCTCATCATCAACACCAACATCATCATCATCACGGTCATCAACATCATCGGGACACCACCATCATCATCATCACCATCATCACAAACATCATCATCAACATCATCATCATAATCATCATCATGTGGACATCATCATCGCCATCATCATCAGAATAAATATCATCATCATCACCATCGGGACACCATCATCATCATCATCATCGACATCATCATCATCATCATCATCATCATCATCATCATCATCATCAACGTCATCATCATCATCATCATCGGGACACCATTATCATCAACATCATCATCATCATCATCAACATCACCATCATCAACATCATCATCAACAACATCGTCATCGGGACACTATCATCATCAACATCATCAACGTCATCATCATCACCACCATCATCATCACCATCATCACCATCATCACCATCATCTCACAATCGATCTGACTATCGGTCTTACAATGGATCTCACTTTCGATCTCACAATCGATCTCACATTCGGTCTCACGATCGATCTAACTATCGATATCACAATCGACGTCATCATCATCATCATCATCATCATCATCATCAACATCAACATCGTCATCATCATCATCATCATCATCATCATCGCCATCATCAACATCATCATCATCACCATCATCATCACCATCATCATCATAATCATCATCATGATCATCATCAACATCATCATCGGGACACCGACGGGACACCGCGGGACTTTCGCGGGACACCGGCGGGACACCGCGGGCCCCCGGCCGCCCGGAAGGGAGTCATTTGGTCCGGCCGCGCCTCAGCCACACGGGTCTTTCGCGGGACACCGGCGGGACACCGCGGGCCACCAGCCGCCCGGAAGGGAGTCATTTGGTCCGGCCGCGCCTCAGCCGCAGGAGACTTTCTCTCGCCCGCCCACGCAGCTACGCCTCGCCCGCACGGCACGCACCAACACGAAACCGAAATCGATTTTCCGGTAGGGGGGCTCTCCGTTCCACTTCGATCTCACCCCCCAACCTCCGATATGTGTGTTATGTGTGGTGATATCGATACACATGCTTATGTACATATATATATATACACAGTAACCAACGCGCACCCCAAACAATGTTTCTAGTAATATATATATATATATATATATATATATATAAATATGTATATCGGAGGTGAGGGGGTGAGATCGAAGTGGA